TCGGCTCCTGAAGTTTGATGCGGGAGACGGCGAGGGAGGGCGGTAGCGGCGGCGGCGGCGGCGGCGGCAGAAACAGCAGCCGCCGCCGCCGCCGCCGCCAGGCAAGCGGGCGGAGCGCAGCGCCAGGGGAGGGGGAGCGAGCGAGCGGCGAGCGCTTCCCTCCGATGCCCGGGTTGGAGCCGTCGCCGCCGCCGCGCCGCTGCAGTAGGAGCGCCAACTCTGCGCGCGGGCGGCGCTGGTGCCGCTCTCCGCGCAAGTTCCCGCGGCCCGGGGGAGGTGCGCGTTGCGTCGGGGAACGTCTGGGCCCGGAAGGGGGCGCCAGGTTGACTCTTTCCCTCTCGCCTTGGCCGCCCTGATGCGGTCGCGAAAAGTTGCGAGGCGGTGGGCGCGGAAGCTCCCTCTCCCTCTGCCCCTTTGCCGACTGCGGGGTTGCTCCGAGCAAGAAGGGAATCTCTGCCTGGCCTGACCCTTTTCCCTCGGAGTCTGAATGGGTCGCCGGCCGAGCACTTGGGCGACACTTTTTCCCTCCCTTCTTCCCCCCACATTCAAGTAGTCTACGGATCGGCAGAATCTCATTTCAAGGTAACTTCTCATGAACTTTTGTGTGTGTGTGTGTGGCCATGTGTATTCTTGGAGGGCCCGTTGGTTGAGAAGTCGTTCCCCCCCTTTTTTGTAAAAAAAAACAAAAAAAACTTAAATATGGCTTCATTTGAAGAGAAGAGGCCTCATGAACTATTTGGTGTTTTTCTGCCTTCTCACTACACCGCCCCCGCCCCCCCATGGCGGCGTATGTGATCTTTAAACTATCGTTCCGGGACTCTTGTCGGGACTGCTGCTAGCTCTAAAAAGCACTACGTTGTTCGGTGAGATGTTAATCCGACTACAACTTCACATCTCAATCCCGGTGGTTGTACACCTTATGCGTAATTTGGAGACTAAATCTCAAGGATGGCCGGATCCGCAGCTGCTACTCACGTTGTTTTCATTAAGTACAGTGCCACAAACTTAACACTAAGCCCAGCCCCAGTTTCCATCTTACAAGTGTTGCTAATGTCTTCTCCTGCGGGATTCTGCTTTCAGTTGAAAAACAACTGCTCGATATGCTCTGCTGTGTTCTTTCTATTTCCTGCCTCACCTCTTGTCACTCTTTCTTGTACTTGAAAATAAAGAGTCGTTGCTGACTTGGATATAAATCTGCCCATGAAGCTCAGGATGCACCTGAATCCAAGTCCTGAATCTGGGATATAAACTGTAGTTGGTTGTAGAGGGAACCAAAACTTTAGCACAGCACATTTGATTCATATTGCTAAAACAACCTTACAATGGAAGGGGGAGTTATATAGTTACATAAGAAAAACAGGCACCCTGTAATCAGGCAATCTGTGACTCAAGAATGAAGTGCAAAGAACCCTCCTTTGCATATACAGTTTCAGAAGTACTTGAACATGGACATACTTCTATATCAAGTCAAAGTACAAACTACTGCAAAGGAAGTTGACATCTCTTAATGAATAGAAGGAAAAGACCAGGGCAGTTTTTTTTTTTAAAGAACAACATTTGTTTTGCAGGAGTAATTGCGAGACAGTTTTATCAGTCCTTAAAAAGCAATACAATTGCTAGGCCTCTCTTAATCCATATAACGAGCCAGACTTATGTCTATTTATTAGACCCGGGTGAATTTTAGTAGAATGATTATATCAGCTTCTGAGAAATTTGTTGGCATTGTAGCACTCTGAGCAATGATAGTTCTGCCTCTACTTTATCCACTTGGAAAATAGAATAGAGAAATTTTCACTGATAAAAATGTGGTTCTTTAGTTTCTTTCTGCTGTTACTTGTTTCAAAGGATTGGTTGCTGTCAGTAGTTTGGGACATTACCATAGCAAATAGTTCAATAATATACAATATACTGTGCAGGATTCTAACATTCAAGTAAGAAAATAGATATTTTGGCCATTAAACTGAAGTAAAGCTGTATATCATTGGGGTGAACTTATTCAAAAATTACATACGGGCAGGGGTGATTGAATAACGGCAGTTTTCTAATTTTACTGACAACTGAGCATCTCCTAGTTACTATTTTTTGCCTTTCCAAATGATTGTGGCAGTAACTATTGGTATATATCATGTTTTTTAAAGGGGAATAATTATTTAATATTTCAAGCATCATGTGATTATAAGCTACTGATGTTACTCAGAGTTATAGCTTAGCAGTAAACAGCTAAACAATATAGTATATAATATGAATTTAGATCCATATTATGTGTTGTAAACATAAATCCACTCTATTCCCTCTGCAGCAATGGATACCTTTATTTTACTACATAATGAAAAAAATAATATACATGTAGATCTTAAAAGGGACCCCAGTTTGGTTAGTAATTAAGAAACCAGGCTAGAAGCCAGGAGATGAGTTTTAGTCCTGCCTTAGGCCCAAAACTTGGGCCAATCACCCCCCCCCCCCAAAAATGAAGAAGGCAGTGATAAATCACTTCCAAAAATATTGTCAAAAAAACTTCAGGGTAGATGTCAAGACTTATTTAAAGGCATATATTCATACACAAAGATCTTAAAATCTAAATCACTTAACTTCCAGGTCTAGGTACATGCATTGGAATAGACACATGTAATCCTTAATTTGTTACGTATGAAGAAAGTATTTTGAAGATAAATGATTCTTAGATACTATGCTTAGATTAGGCTATAATAAATATAACGAGAAAAGTTTAATTTGGTTCTTAAAACCCTTGGATAGTGTTGAGTCTAATTGCAGTTTATATTTTCAAGACTTGGCTGTGTAGGAGGCTGTAATCAGACTAGGATGACAGCAGGATTGTCTTAAATTATATGATTGTAGTGAAATCCCATTCAAGTAAAATGCTTTGGTAGCATTGCTTCAGGCTTCATTCTTGACATGCAAGTATTTATGCAAGCATTAGTGTCAATTCTCACATAATAGTTGAGCTACTTATTTAAATATTTTATTTATAAACTTATAAAAATTTGAACATTTCAAATTTGTACATACTATATATATTGAATTGGGTATAAAATAAAATGTAGCGCTTCCCTTGCTTTTATATTGTGCAAGAAAGGCTGCTATTTCTGCATGTTTGGATCAGGGGTGGGATGCTACCAGTTCTGCCCCGCTCTATAGAACCGGTAGCTCTGAAGAGCAGCAGACACCGAACCAACGCAAAACATAATTACCGAACCAGTAGTAACACTGGTTAAATCTCACCCCTGGTTTGGATATAAATAAATCTGCATGGGTAGATCTGAAGAATTGAGACAACAGTGTCTTTAGGTAAATTTGTTTTACATGAATTCACTGCTATGCAATTGATTATGTTCATCAAATAATTTCCTTTTATAAGAAAAATAAGATACTATTATGTAGTTTGTGTCAGCATAGTCAATTGCACTAAAGGCCTGGAAACAGGACAAGACTTCCTTCTGGCAAAACTACTTGAACATTTTCCCACTAATCCCATTGCTTTCCTCATGCAGTTACCATTATATTGTATGTTTGTTCCAGATGTAGATCTAGCAATCCTATTTTTGTACCTGTAGTAGCTACTACTGTTACTGTGGGGTCACCACAATCATCAAAGAAAAAGGATGAGCTTTTAACCTGGCCAAATCAACATAGCAAACAATGCTAGTAATATTTGTAGTGCTATGATGCATGCGACCTCTTTATCTGCCATGAAAACTACATGCAGTAGAAAGCAAAATGTAGAAAAGATGGAATAAATGCTTTCCCTGCACCAGAATATGAGAAAAAGAAGAAAATATGTTTGAATAATATAGTACTCAAGATTAAGGCTCTAAAAATTTATGAGCACATTTGTTGACACTGCCCTGCAACCCATTTTTCCCACTCATTCAATATCTCATTTAATGCAAGGTTTTCAAGGATTATAAACTTAACATAAAACGAAGGAAGAGTTTACTTTTTAATAATAATACAGTATTACATCAAAAGCTGAGCACATGTTATTTCTAAAATCATATTTCCAAATCTATAAAAATGGTTCAGTTTCTCAACAATACATCATTGCTGTGTTTGTCCAATCTTGGTCAATGTTTATATTTTACCTTGTATCTTTTGTAAGTCAAGCAAGTGGTGAGCATGATAACCTCAATATTTAGCAACAGAATTATGCTCAATGGGATTCAGTGAGGCTTATGCTGCATAGATGTATAACTGAGATGGCAGCTCGTATGAATTGTACATTTATTTTGGGGGTTAATTATTTCGCCCATATCACTGAGCATGATTCTGGATGGTATACAGCCATTAATTAGAGTATACTAAAATCAAAAGTTGGAGAATATATAGAATTCATTCTCATTGATTTTGTTTTGTTTGTTGGATGACTTTATTTTTATATGCCAGAATTACTCCAGGAATAGGAGAGGTTCTAAAAGACATTAGATCCTTGTGGGGGAAAGTGATGAGTTGGGCAAGGGCACCTAATTTTGTAATTTCTTTTTAACTTACTAAGTTTTTTCTGTTTATAATTCATTGGTATCCTATTGTATTATTTTTGTAGAGAGGGTAATCTCTTAGCAAACAATTTCTCAAACATTTATATGAGAGAAATAAGAGGTGTTAAAAAGAAATATGTGCCAAACTGTTGCCTGTGACATGTTGATATTCATATCACATTTTCATAACTTTTTAAAGTCTCGTGTAGTAAACTTTAATAATTGTTCCTTGTTTCATAGATGCAGGGTTGTTGCCAAGAATTATGTATCAGTTATTTGGCAAGTCTGGGCATAAAAACCAAATTTCTGATTATGAGCTTGAAATTAACCTTTTTAAAGCACAGGGCTTTCCCTTCTAAAGTGACAGATGCAGCTATGATTTTTATTTATAAACATTTTTTTGATTATGTAGCTTTGTTGGTTTATTTTGTAGGATTGAGAAAGGGAGATAAAAAAAATCCAAGAACTATTTTTGCTGGAAGCTTTTGTGCACTATGACTTTGTTAAAAATAGATTTAATAGATCTCTAGTTTGTATAAGAAACTGTTATCGCAGTTCTTGAGTACTGTTATACTCAAGATATACTCAGTATATCTCTCAGTATACTAATACTTATAAGAGTTAAAATAAAAACAAATTCATGTGTTTTTCTGTTGGAAGCAAAAGTATTAATGATAGTATAGAAGTCTACAGGGTCTTTTTGAATTATGTTTGCTGCAGCATGTATTTATTCCCTGAGGACTTGAACATAATTATACTAACTAGAGTCCCCTCTCTAAATGTTCCTGGTTTTTCCCTAGTTCTTTTTCCTCCTTCGCTTGTCCATAACTGGAGAACATTGACATGAATGGAATCTCTTTCTATTGCAGGATTATCTTACTTTTTTGAGAGATCAATAGCTTAAACTTACCATAGCATCCGAATGGTGTAATTCTGTGTTTTTGATTTGTAATATAGAAATAGGTTCATCTTTCTTTATAGATGATGAATTATGGGGAACTTTAATGTTGTCTTCTATGATATTAAATTATAGGAACAATTCAGAATACTCTTTTGTGCCAATACCAAAAGAAAGGGAGGTGCTTAAGTATGCAGATGAAAAATATAATGTGTGCAGCTAGTTACTGGATTTTATTTCTTGTTCTGACATGAGAATTACTGTGGCCCTTAGTTCTCATAAAAACAGTATGTTGAACAATCCAGATATGTGATTTGGACAAGTCACTGTCTTTTGCTTTCAATTCTTACAATATTTTGTTTTACTGTTTTTATTTTGTTGTTGGTATATATTATTTATATCCTTGTGTTATGAGTGGCCCAGAGTTTGGTTTAAGATATGTGGTTATAGAAATGTTTTAAATAAATACCAAAATGTAAAAGATTAAGGCTGCAATCTCATTAAAAGGGAAGGAACTAAATAGGTTTAGTAGCAGGTTGCAGTTTGTCATAATAAGTGTACTTAGTTGGAGACAGGTTTAGTTAAAGTCAAAGATCATGTTCTACTTAAAAAAGTAATGCTGTGTTTGACTTAACAAAGAAAAAAACCCATTCAACTAAATGATAGGAGAGGGGGGCTGTATAATGTGGAACTAAGATACCTTTTGTTCTATTAACAACACTGTTTAGGATTATAAACCACAATAAGAGCAAATAATCCTTTGGGGAGATGTGCAGTTTTTTCTGTTTGAAAACCTGTACCTGCTTGCATTTTAGTGGATGTGTAGATCTGTGTTATTGTGCAGGTGTTTAACATAGAAGTTTTCGGTTTGCTTGCTAATGTAGGAATGAATAAAGTTTCAATCAGTATCTGGAGGAACGAGTCCTTTCCTTTAATTATTAATCATTTGTTCCTAAGTACAAAAGTAGTGTCAATTTATTACTTTGAAATGGGTTATTAGATTTTTATATTTTGGGCCACTCTTATCAATGTCATCTTGGTTATTAATAATAATTTATTAAATTTATACACTGCCTGACTCTGAAAGGAAAAATATTTGTTCCTGTTGACTTAATATGTTTATGTCTGTTTGCTGTTTTATTCTTTAGGATATTCCTTGATTTCCTTTATAGTGCTATATAAATCATTTTGCTTTAGCAAAACCAATCATGAGGAATTTCTATTATAGTAAATAGCAGAAACTGATGGTGCCAAAAATGGTGTGCCTAATAAAAATGCTTTGATATTCTCTTTTTGTTTAGGGGATGAAAGACTGAGGAGATGGATTCTTGAAGTTTTAATGAAACATTCTGCTGTGCTGGAGAGGCTGTAAGTAGAATATGAGAGAAAGATACATGGATTCCTGGAGGATGTATTTTTCAGGAGCAGCAAAAATGTGTACTGTAGCTGTTTCTAAACATTGGGCTTTAGTAGGTCCTCTGTATCATAAGATTATCTGAACTGTGTTGTATTGTAGACTTAGGGTCCAAGCTAAACATTCTGGTATATCCTATTTCTTTTAAGATGCTTATAAATTGATACATTTTTGTGATACAAAAAGCAACCTGAAGGTATGGAAAAATGATCCAGATCAGAAGTATGATATAGGGCCATAACAACTTTCGGCAAGGGTTTGATATTTAGTGCAAAACAGCATAGGTAGACACTACATTCCTTATCCACATTGTTCCTCTTTCTTGTGGCTTGTTTTTTTAATCAACAAATGGTAATAACACTGTGATAGAAAAACACAAATGCTCCTGAAAATGCCTTTATGTCCTTTTCATATGTGCTCGTCTCTTCATTTCATATTATTTATTAGGTATCTGTATTGAAATCTTTATTAAACTCTGTTGGTCTTTGTGCCCACAGATTATCGTGGCAGCATAGAAAGGACATCAGGACGCAGAGTTTCAAAAGATAATCAGCAACAAAGAAAAACTTTTCATACACTTAATAATTAAAGTTAGGTTCAGGCTTCTTCAAAATATCAAGCGTGTCTCTTGTCATGACATAGTAGGACCAGTTATTTAAGTTCAAGTAATGGGTTTTAGGGACTTTGCCTTGAAAAACTGTCTGTATTCCAGACAAGGCACTTAATGGTAATTTCAGTGCATTGAACATTTCAGGGAACCTGTACAGAGACTTCAGTGGTAATATTTTAATGTGGAAGTGGAAGAAAATAATGTTCTTAGTATCTTGAGCTGAAATAATGTGGTTGAATAAAGGATTGTAAGCTCTGTGGGTATATATTTGCTTTGGGAATATGGTGCTATACAAATGACTTCAGAGGTCAGCAGCACTGTCCTTATAGACTAATGAACAAAGCTGTGCTGAATTTGGAGTTTAATCATTATGGGGAAGAGAGATTATGAGCTTAAGATGAAAGTATTCCAATTTAACTGATTTGTGGAGATATTTAGAATGCAATATTCTATAATATTGATAGGAACTTTGTGAGAGTAACTTGGATGGAATTCTGTCTTTAGATACTTGGTTGGTAACTGAAGGAGTGACTCTTCAATTAATGATTATTTATTAAAGTAGCATATATTGTACTATACTATAGTTATACTATAGTTAATATATGTGAAATACTATATTACAATAGATATGTACACAGGTTGTTTTTACTACCCAATTGTGTACCATAAACAATGGAAGCTTAAATAATCTCTAAGTACATAAAAAGGGAAAGATTATGAAAAGTGCTTACTACAGTTTACTTCACTCAGCATCAGCTATTATTACAAGGCAGCATTTTATAGATCTTAGTAGAAAAACATAATAGAACCATTTCCTTTAAAGTTTTGAGGCATACTAAAATATTACCAAAGAGAAGTTAAGTTCTTTTAACATTTCTATTCACTGTATATTTTTTGGTATATTGTACTAACTTTATACAATTTTAAAATAATGAGTTATTTGAACAGTATCAAGAAGACTACACATGGCTTCTGATTTCTGTAATAGACCAATATACTGTGTGCACCTAAGCACTAAACATGGAGGTTAATTGTAATAATTTATACACTGTAATGACAACATTTGTAGGCTCTTTTCAAATTGACACATTCTTGCAGTTTCCTTACATATTCTTGGACTTTTAGTGTGGAGTGGATGGTGAAATAAGAATTATATTTTTACTTAAAGATGTATAAAAGTAGCATATATTTTATTGGTTATAAATCAGAATTTAGCAGCCATTGGAACATAGTCCACTGCAGACTGCATCTAAGCCCATGTGCTAGGGCTCAGGGGTCACCAGTCTTTTGGACCTCAGGGACCACTAAATTCATAACTTTAAATCCCACGGACTACTATGATTTTTTTAAAAAAGACAAATAGTATTTAGTGCAATATAAAAAATGCAAATAATTTTTCTGCGGACCACCAAAATTTTCTCACGGGCCACTGGTTGGTGACCCCTGTGCTAGGCCACAACTGATGGAAATGTGAAGCGGTTCCCATCAACACCCTTGCAATGATCTTCCCGGGATTCTTTGAAAGACTGTCCATTTGTGAGCCAATCTGTTTTCTATTACAGATCTAATCCAATGACTCCAGCAACTACAAAAAAATATTTCCCCAAACAAAAATAGAGAGGTGTTTTCATTTTAAAGTTCATAAACATTGCTATTAAAAAGAAAAGACAAGCAAGCAAAAAACAAACAAACAAATCAATCCTTGGGTTCTCAATCTAATTGGTAATATTGGTAGCCTTTCTTCATAGCCTCAAAAATTAGTAACTAACTTTAAGTAATTAACACAGAACAGAAATTAAAACAAGAGGAAGGGGAATAATCTAGTCAATAACATTTTTTCAAAGTTTGTCCTATTTCTCCTTGTATGTATCATCTCCAGACCTTGTTTTACTCCGTTGCATTTGTAAAACTTGGGAGTTCTAATCCCAAATCATACATGCAACCAGCAGGAATGATTTTAGGCCACTTACTCTCTCTCATTCATCCCAAGGAAGGGGACAAGGCCAACCACTTCTGAAATCTTTCCAAGAAAACTGCAGTTGCCAGAAGTAACACTGATTCAAAGTCTCCAAGATGCTTTTACAGAAGGCAACTGGACTTCCTTGATTTTTTTTTCCTTTGAAAATGATTTGCTTCTTGTCCAAGAAGCTTCTTCTGTTTTAGCTGAAATTAGAATTAGAAGGATGTTTGAGAATCTCCATAAACACTGATTCAAAAACGCAAAACAAATAGAAAATGTACAAACCTTAGTAAATACTACAAGATATTTGGAATTGCATGAGAGTAGCATGCATCTCAGTCTTTCCTTGTCAGTACATATGTTATCTGTGGCCAGGGGTGGGGTTCAAATTTCTTAACAACTGGTTCTGTGGCCGTGGTCTAATTTGTGGGTGGCTTGGTGGTCATGTGACTGGGTGGGCATGGCTTTTATGTAAATATTATAAATGTTTATGTAAATATTGAATTTTTTATAAAAAAAGGAGCAAAATCAGGCAAAGCAGGCAGGCAGATTGAGTTGCTCACAGAATCACAGATTCACTTAGAGATCTATGATTCTGCAACCTGGTACCTGAATCTACACTGAACACTAGAAGCTTCAGTCCTCAGGAAGGTTCAGCTCTGCTTTTAGATTAGCTAGAAAGCAAGAAATCCAATGATTTCCTGCTTTCTAGCTAATCTAAATCTCCCAGCACAGCAGAACAGCTGATGGTCGGGGGAAAAAAGGAAAAATCGCAATTTACCAAAACCATATCTAACAAAATGAAATTCAATGTAGAGAAAAGTAAAGTCCTACACTTAGGCAAGAAAAACCAAAAGTACACATAGAGACTGGGTGAAACCAGGCTCTCAATAGCAGTAACTGAGAGAGGGATCTTGGAGTCTTAGTGGACAACCAGCTAAATATGAGCCAGCAGTGTGCAGCCGCCGCCAAAAAAGCTAATGCAATCCTAAAGTGTATTAACAGAGGGATACAATCAAGATCAAGGGAAGTACTAATACCACTCTATAAAGCCTTAGTAAGACCACACCTAGAGTACTACATCCAGTGTTGTTCACTACATTATAAAAAAGATGTCGAGACTCTAGAAAAAGTACAGAGAAGAGCAACCAGGATGATTAGGGGACTGGAGGCTAAAACATACAATGAACGGTTGCAGGAACTGGGCTTGGCTAGTCTAGTAAAGAGAAGGACCAGGGGAGACATGATAGCAGTCTTCCAATATTTGAGGGGCTGCCACAGGGAGGAAGGGGTCAAGCTATTTTCTAAAGCGCCTATAGGCCAGACAAGGAATAATGGATGGAAACTGTACAAGAAGAGATTTAACCTGGAAATAAGGAGAAACTTTCTGACAGAGAGAACAATCAACCAGTGGAACAGCTTGCCCTCGGAAGTTGTGGAAGCACCATCACTTGAGACTTTCAAGGAGAGATTGGACTGCCATTTGTCAGAAATGGTGTAGGGTCTCCCACTTGGGTGGGGGGTTGGACTAGATGACCTACAAGGTCCCTTCCAACTCTGATTATCTATTATCTGTTCTTAATGGCCATCACCTCGGCCAGGTGCATATCGAAGTTGGCGGCTCTTTCCGTCAGAGAACAACTCTGTACCTTCCACACAAACAGGGTAGTTCTGTGCCTGGACCCTTCCTTCATCCCTAAAATCATCTCCCGCTTTCATAGGGCTCAGGAAATTGTCCTACCTGACTTCTGCCCTACTCCATCTCATGATATGGAGCACAGATGGCACAAGCTGGATGTAAGGAGGGCACTCCGCAGATATATCAAAAGAACATCAACGTATCGCAAAACTGAAACCCTGTTTGACTCATTTCAGCCATCTTCCATGGGTACCAAAGTCTCATCATCGATCATAGGCCGTTGGATCAGGGCTTGTATAGTCAAGGCCTACGAGACTCTTGCTCTTCCCATACACAGACAAGTAACCACCCATTCAACAAGAAGTGCAGCTACCACAGTTGCCTGGGTGATGCAAGCCTCACTTGAGGACATCTGCAGGGCGGCGATGTGGTCCTCCCCATCTCCTTTCATAAGGCACTACAAACTGGACACATATGCCTCAGCAGAGGCGGCCTTCAGCAGAAGAGTGCTACAACGAGTACATACAGACGGGGTTCACAGGACCAGACTTCTTCCTGCCCATAGGTACTGCCAGGGGTGGGATCCGAACGGTGTAACTACTGGTTCGGTGATTTTACATTTTGCGCGCACGTGTATATCGTTGTCAGCTGCCTGGACAGCTCAGCAGTGCTGCGCACGGATGCTCAGCGGTTGAAAAAGTACTTTTTTCCTGTTTTTTCAACCGCAGCTGTGTTGCACAAAGCA